CGGCAGGGATGTCCATTATCACCACTGCTATTCAACATAGTACTAGAAGTCCTAGCCTCAGCAATCAGACAACAAAAGGAAATTAAAGGCATCCAAATCGGCAAAGAAGAAGTCAAACTATCACTCTTTGCAGATGATATGATACTATATGTGGAAAACCCAAAAGACTCCACTCCAAAACTGCTAGAACTTGTACAGGAATTCAGTAAAGAGTCAGGATATAAAATCAATGCACAGAAATCAGTTGCATTTCTCTACACTAACGACAAGACAGAAGAAAGAGAAATTAAGGAGTCAATCCCATTTACAACTGCACCCAAATGTATAAGATACCTAGGAATAAACCTCCCCAAAGAAGCTAAGAATCCATACTCAGAAAACTATAAAGTACTCATGAAAGAAATTGACGAAGACACAAAGAAATGGAAAAATGTTCCATGCTCTTGGATTGGAAGAATAAATATTGTGAAAATGTCTATGCTACCTAAAGCAATCTACACATTTAATGCAATTCCTATCAAAGTACCATCCTTTTTTTTTTTTCAAAGTAATGGAACAAATAATCCTAAAATTTATATGGAACCAGAAAAGACCTCGAATAGCCAAAGGAATATTGAAAAAGAAAGCCAAAGTTGGTGGCATCACAATTCCGGACTTCAAGCTCTATTACAAAGCTGTCATCATCAAGACAGCATGGTACTGGCACAAAAACAGACATATAGATCAATGGAACAGAATAGAGAGACCAGAAATAGACCCTCAACTCTATGGTCAACTAATCTTGACAAAGCAGGAAAGAATGTCCAATGGAAAAAAGACAGCCTCTTCAATAAATGGTGTTGGGAAAATTGAACAGCCACATGCAGAAAAATGAAATTGGATCATCTCCTTACACCACACACGAAAACAGACTCAAAATGGATGAAGGACCTCAATGTGAGAAAGGAATCCATCAAGATCCTTGAGGAGAACACAGGCAGCAACCTCTTCGACCTCAGCCACAGCAACATCTTCCTAGGAACGTCACCAAAGGCAAGGGAAGCAAGGGCAAAAATGAACTATTGGGATTTCATCAAGATCAAGCTTTTGCACAGCAAAGGAAATAGTTAACAAAACCAAAAGACAACTGACAGAATGGGAGAAGATATTTGCAAACAACATATCAGATAAAGGGCTAGTGTCCAAAATCTATAAAGAACTTAGCAAACTCAACACCCAAAGAACAAATAATCCAATCAAGAAATGGGCAGAAGACATGAACAGACATTTCTGCAAAGAAGACATCCAGATGGCCAACAGACACATGAAAAATTGCTCCATATCACTCGGCAACAGGGAAATACAAATCAAAACCACAATGAGATACCACCTCACACCAGTCAGAATGGCTAAAATTAACAAGTCAGGAAATGACAGATGCTGGCCAGGATGCGGAGAAAGGGGGACCCTCCTACACTGTTGGTGGGAATGCAAGCTGGTGCAACCACTCTGGAAAACAGCATGGAGGTTCCTCAAAATGTTGAAAGTAGAACTACCCTATGACCCAGCAATTGCACTACTGGGTATTTACCCTAAAGATACAAATGTAGTGATCCGAAGGGGCACATGCTCCCGAATGTTTATAGCAGCAATGTCTACATTAGCCAAACTATGGAAAGAACCTAGATGTCCATCAACAGATGAATGGATAAAGAAGATGTGGTATATATACACAATGGAATACTATGCAGCCATCAAAAGAAATGAAATCTTGCCATTTGCCACGACGTGGATGGAACTAGATGGTATCATGCTTAGCGAAATAAGTCAATCGGAGAAAGACAACTCTCATATGATCTCCCTTATATGAGGGAGAGGAGATGCAACATGGGGGGTTAAGGGCGTAGGAGAAGAGTAAATGAAACAAGATGGGATTGGGAGGGAGACAAACCATAAGTGACTCTTAATCTCACAAAACAAACTGAGGGTTGATTGGCGGAGGGGGGTTGGGTGGGGGGGTGGGGTTAGGGACACTGAGGAGGGTATGTGCTATGGTGAGTGCTGTGAAGTGTGTAAAACTGGCGATTCACAGACTTGTACCCCTGGGGATAAAAATATATGTTTATAAAAAATAAAATTAAAAAAAAAGAATGTCAAGGATCTATTACACAATGATACTCTCTTTCTTACATCAATAAAGGAAAATAAAACCATATGACCATTTCTATAGATGCAGAAAAAGTATTTGACCAAGTACAGCATCCATTCATGATAAAAACTCTCAAGAAAGTAGAGATTGAGGGAACATACCTCAACAAAATAAAGGCCATATTTGAAAAACTCATACCTAATATCATCCCCAGTGGAGAAAAACAGAAAGTTTTTCCTCTATAGTCAGGAAATAAGACAGGAATGTCCACTCTCACCACTGTTGTTCAATACAGTACTGGAAATCCCAGCCATAGCAATCAGACAACACAAAGAAATAAAAGGCATCCAAATCAGCAAGGAGGAAGTCAAGGTATCGCTATTTGAAGATGGCATAGAGAAAACACTAAAACTGCACTAAAAAATTGCTAGAACTGATACACAAATTCAGTAAAGTCGCAGGATATAAAATCAATATATAGAAGTCTGTTGCATTTCTGTACAACAATGACATGGCAGAAAGAGCTACCAGGAATCAATCCCATTTACAAAAGCACCAAAAACGATAAAATACCTAGGAATAAACCTAACCAAAGAGGCCAAAGATCTGTACTCTGAAAACTGTAAAACATTGATGAAAGAAATTGAAGATGACACAAAGAAATGAAAAAACATTCCATGTTCATGGACTGGAAGAACAAATATTGTTAAAATGTCTATATTACCTAAAGCAATCTATGCAGTACATGCAATTCTTATCAAAATAACAACAACATTTTTCACAGAACTAGAACCAACCCTAAAATTTGCATGTATTCACAAAAGACCCAGAAGAGCAAAAAGCAATCTTGAAAAAGAAAAGCAACACTAGAGGCATCACAATTACAGTCCTCAAGTTATATTATAAAGCTGTAGTGAGCAATACAGTATAATACTGACACAAAAACAGACACACAGTTCAACAGGACAGAACAGAAAACCAAGAAATGGACCCATAACTATATGGTGAATTAATCCTCGGCAAAGCAGGAAAGAACAGCCAGTGGAAAAAAGTCTCTTCAACAAATGGTGTTGGGAAAACTGGACAGCAACATGCAGAAGAATGAAACTGGACCACTTTCTTATACCATACATAAAAAGAAACTCAAAATGGACTGAAGACCTAAATGTGAGACCTAAACTATAAAAATCCTAGAAGAGACCACAGGCAGTAACTTCTCTGACATCTGCCATAACAACTTTTTTCTAGATAGGTCCTCTGAGCCAAGGCAACAAAAGGAAAAATAAACTATCAGGACTACATCAAAATGAAGTTTCTGTACAGTGAAAGAAGCAATCAACAAAACTTAAAAGGCAACCTACAGAATGGGAAAAGAAATTTACAAATGATATATATATATATATGATAAAGGGTTAGTAATCTAAGTACATAAAGAAATTATAAAACTCAACACCCCCTCAAAAAATAATCCAATTAAAAAATGGGTAGAAGACATGAATAGACATTGTTCCAAAGAATACATCCACATGGCCAAAAAACACATCAGAAGATGGTCATTACCACTTACCATCAGGGAGATGCAAATCAAAACTACAATAAGGTATCACCTCACATTTGTCAGAATGACTAAAATCAACAACACAAGAAACAACAGGTGTTAGTGAAGATATAGAGAAAAAGGAACCCTGTTGCCGTGTTGACAGAAATGCAAACTGGTGCCGCCATGGTGGAAAACAGAATGGCAGTGCCCCTAAAGGTTAAAAACAGAACTACCCTAGGATCCTGCAATCACACTACAGGTTGTTTACCCAAAGAATACAAAAACAGTAATTTAAAGGGCCATGTACCCCTATGTTTAGAGCAGCATTATTTACAACAGTTGATATATGGAAGCAGCCCAAGTGGCCATCAACTGATGAATGACTAAAGAAGATGTGATACACACACACACACACACACACGGAATATTATTCAGCTATAAAAAGAATGAAATCTTGCAATCTACAATAACATGGATGGAGCTAAAGGTTAAAATGCTAACTAAGCAGATTAAGTCAGTGAGAGAAAGACATACCATATGATTTCACTCTTATGTGGAATTCAAGAAACAAATGAGCTAAGTGAAAAAATAGAGAGGCAAGCCAAGAAACAGAATCTTAACTATAAAGAGCAAACTGATTGTTACCACAGGACAGGTGGGTGGGGAAATGGGTAAAATAGGTCATAGGGATTAAGGAGTGTGCTTGTGATGAACACCTGCTGAATTATGTAGAGAATGGCCTAATCACTATATGGTATACCTGAAACTAATATAAAAGTGTATGTTAACTGGAAAATAAAAACTTTTTTAAAAAATGAATTTTCTCACTTAGAGACACTTAAAATATTACTTCCCAATATTCTCTCCTGATTTTTGAAAATATATCCCCAAAGGTTGTGAGCAATTATTTTTATCTCAAAATTATAATTTTCCATTTTGCTACACTGAATATTATCTAAGAAGAGTTAGAAGAACACTGGAGTAGAATTAAATAATCCTGGGTTTTGATCTTGGGCGCCACCACTATCTAGGCTACATGTGGTCTTGACTTTCAACAAATTAATCTCTATAATGAAGATTCTATAAAAACTGCAACTGAGTACTATCCGCTCTATCCTAGCACAGGATGGTTGTGAAGAATCAAGTCATTAATGTAGCATGTTATTATCACCATTATCATCTAAGCAGAGAAAACTGAAAGTTACATTTTAAAAAAGGCAAACCATCTTATCAATTGACTTTTGGCAACCAATGTCATATATTGGCTTCTTCTGAATAGATGTGAGTAAGAAGACATTAACTCAGTGTATCCTAAATAAATACTTTTCATACCTGGCGTAACAAAACACTTCCACATGTTGAATGGTTTTGTCCTTCCTGCTAAGAGCAATGGCTTCTTCATTTTCAAGAATCTGCTCTTGCCATGCTGGGCTTTCATTCACAATGTCACTGTTTTCCTAAATAAAACACAGATGAGAAATTTTTATTAAATTGCACAATGTGAACCTCTACTTTTTTGTGAAAATGTATACCTTTCTCAATTAATGCTTTGCCTTTGATGCCATCAAAATTCTGAAGTGACTCCAGCATAGTGTGCCATCTTCAAAGGAAAGAGAAGAAATTTGTGCAAAATCCTACCCTATCAAATGCTAGCTCTGGTTTACACCTTTCTAGCAGGATATCTAACAGTTTGATGCAGTCACTGGATGTGCCTGTTTTGATATTATTTAAGAACTAGGACAACTAACCCTCTTTCTGCTGAAAATCAAGTGTGTCTGGTATACATATTACTTGTTATTAATAAAGTTTTTGCATTTTGTTATCCAAACGCAGGCTCACAATTACTTCCTTCTACTTTTAGGTCTTTGAAGGTTAGTCACTAGCCATGTCAAATTTTGATTATATGTAAAAGTATATTTGAAAAGTATTCAGCCCACTATAACTGAGGACTGTATAATAACCAACCTCTAAATATTCTATTTTCAGAAAGACAATAAAAACAATAATGCATGATAACATATGTAAACTTATAAGGGTGGAAAGTGGCCCTTCAAAAATTTTAACAATTCCTAATTACATTTTATGGAGATAAATTATATATACAGCAGTATTTGAATACAGGGGATTTCTGGAAATGTCAAGATATGCCTTTTCCAAATGTCAAGGATCAATTTTTAATCTGTTTAAAATTTTAAAGTATTTGGTACACATTTCTCAGAGAAAAAATTTTTTGAATATATGTTTTCAAAAAACTAGTAGTGAAACAAAAAGTAGTGAAGTATAACTACAATATTCTTTGTTTTAAGTAAATTCACTTCAACAAATTTCTAAACTTACAGATTTCATAAAGTAGGACAGTAATTATTTTAAAAGGCTTTTTTTCTCAGGGCACCTGGGTGGCTTAGTCAGTTAAGCATCTGACTCTTGGTTTTAGCTCAGGTCATTATCTCAGGGTCCTGGGATGAAACTCCAGTTAAGCTCTGTGCTCAGCAGGGAGTCTTCTTCCCCACTCTCTCTCCCTCTGCCCCTCCCCCAGCTCATGCACACTCTCTCTCTCTTAAATAAATCTTAAAAAAGGGCTTTTTCTCCTGAATTTAACATTTTAAACTGTAGCAAAATAGGGTAGACATCTCTTCTTACTAAGTGTAATTATTAGATTATGTTAAACATACCAACATAGGTAGAAAAGGAGTTCTGAAATACAGAACTCTGAATGTGTAGACATGGGGTTACCAACCTGAAGACAAGACTGTGGATCAGCAAAGAGTGAAGGGGAAAGGATATGGTGAAAGAGGATGCTGGAGTAGAAGAACTTAAAAAATATTTTTCAAAAATATTCAATATTTTAAATATTTTAATATTTTAATATTAATATTTTTAATAGATTTAACCTATTATCAAAATTTATTTTATAAAATTCCCTTTACTCATCAGAAGTTTTCCATTCAGACAACCAAGGTATATTTGTTGTCTTTGTTGTGAGCATCTAGACTAAATTTTCTCATGGAAGTGCTAAATACACTAAGATAAACCTTACACATACTTCCTAAGAATAAGGTTCAAAATAGGGTTTCTGATCAACACAAATACATGAATATTTAAGGCACATACATAAAATGTCTTTGTCATGACTAGAAGAACCTTTTAAGTCACCTTCCATCAATTAATTAGTACAACTACAATGCTTATAGTGGTGCTTGGCACATGGTAAGTGTTTAATAGTCTTAGCTATATTATTTTGAGCTAACTGAATACAATTTTCTAGAATATATCATACTCCTTTCCCAACTGTCTAAACTCTTGAGATATAGCAATTTTTGATTTCATGTATGATGCTCTCAATAGGAAATTCATTTCAATCCACATGTACCATTCACATAAAATTGGGACAATTTTTTTAATCTGTCATAAAAATCCGTGAACTCCATGACATAACCTACTCCCCATATTACTATGCTGTACAGGTCCTCTAAAAAACTTCCTTACAATGATATCCAATAGTTGTAGTAGGGAGATCCAAAAACTTACCAAATTCATATTAAATTTTTCCTTGCTTTTTGTTTTTACTGATTCTGTCAGGTGACTTCTATAAATACACAAACTACCAATGACTCAGACCATTTCAAAGTAATGTATTTTCCCCTGAATAGTTGGGGTTTTTTCTCAAAATATACTACTGAAAGAGCAACTAGTAATATGTGAGATTTTAGAAGGACTGAAACTTTTTTTCTGAAAGGCTATTTTGGAGAAAAAAAATCTTGCCTTACATTTGGGAATGTAATGAGAAAATGGTATCAAGTATATATGATGTACTCTTCAGCCAACATATCTAAGTATATTTAAAAAGCAGTATCTATATTTTGAAAGCATTTGAAGAACATTAACTATAAAGATGACTACATAATTTTTCTTAAAAAAATAAATAAAAATGAGGCATCAATCCTATATTACAGAAGCTTAGGGTTTTATTCAATGTAGGGTTATTATGTGATACCAAATACAACCTAGTAGATTAAAAATCAACTAAAAAGGTTACCTGGTATTCCTTTAGCCAGGACAGTATTCCTGAAAAGCTGAAACTGGCCCAGTTTCCTCCATAGTAGCTTCTTCTGTAACAATAAAAAAATAAGAGTGAAGAAAAGGGTATAAAAATTAAGCCACTGATCTCCATCAGCAAACCACCCCGTACCCTTCAAATCATTTCAGTATTGCCACCTCAGAGTTCAAAACATAATTGGGATGCTGGAAATACTAGGCTGAAATAAAAGTTGGCCTCTCCAAACCCAAAGTTAACTTTCCATTGTATAAGGAAAAAAATCTCTTCGGTCTCCTTAGAGCTTTCGCCACTGATCAAATGCCACTGATCATGTGATTGTGAACAGCTTGATATGGGCATTGAGCACGGAATATAAGCAAAATTTGACTCCTGGGTTAAAACAAAATGGCTGGGGAGAAAACCTTGGTAGATCTCAAGGAAAGCCAATGGAAAAAATTATTAAGTTTTCTGTAAAAAACTAAATATCCACTGTCCCCACCACCACCAAACCCATAACTCATGCCAACATACACACTCTCACACACACACAAATGGCTACTCTAGAGGTAGTGGCCCTGTGTTATTCTTAGCCTTCAGGGCCGAAAATAAAAGTAGCTTCTGGGACACAGTTATTCACTTTTGTAGTAAGTAAAACAAGAACAATATCCCCACTAATAACTGGGTGAACTATTATTCTTCATTCTATAATCCTCTGAAGAACATCATTCTGTTTTAGAGGACCCAGAGGTCTCCTAACTAGGATCAGGTAAACCTTGTAGACATTGGAGTTCTTATTAACTTCCTTAAGTAAGAGACTTGTGGCAACCAGAATTCTCTAATTCAGTACTACATATCTGTACTGGGGCTTCCCAGTTCTTATAAAATTCTTCACATTTATTCTTTGTATTATGAGCCCCAAAGTACACTCAGTTCTACCTACAACATCTGGTTCTGGGGTGGGAAAGATTCTTGGTTCTGTTTTTTGTTTTCAGTTTTCCTTCTCTGTATTTTTCTCTAATGAAATAAAATCTATAAAAGCTCTTTTTAAAATGACATGAAAACGAAAACCTTTAATATCCAAAATCACTCATACATAGTGCTACTGGAGATCCCCTCAGTCTTCTGATATATTTCTCCTCAAACAAATGTTGACAGGCCTGCAGAACAGTCAGACTTAAGGTTCAAGTATTTTACCAATAATCACTGTTTTTGCTCTAATAGAAAAAATGGTTAAGCTGAGTATCTGTGAAAATAGGTCTATTAATACAGATTACTGCTTTAGTTATAATCTGATCTCTTGAAGATAATGCAAATTCATTCACCATTCAAAATCTCTAATGGCTTTAAAATTTAGGTAGATTTTCACTTATATTAACAATTCTAGATGGCCACCCTTGCTAACATGTTGGGATCAGGAAACATAGAAGCTCTGATCCCCTGGGTCAGAGAAAACAGTGGAAGGAGAAGGTGGGCAACAGCCAGTATACAGAAGAGGGAGGAGTGAAGACAGAGGAGCGTTATAACTAGTGGTATTTCCCGTAGAAATTTATACCCTCTTCTCCCTTGCCTGAGAATAATATACACTTCTGCCATCCCTTCCCACTCTCTAAATATAACACTCAACAAACCAGAAAACATCCAGTGATGTTAAAAAAAATAAAACAACTGTCTTTATAATTTTTGTTAAGATATTTAGATTTCTTTTAAGCCACCTTATAGTCATAAATAAGAAGCTCTGACCGTTGGGTAAAAATTTTAAGATTGAAGTCAATTTATTGGATACATCAATTTATAAGTAATAAATATACATTAGAAATCTGACACTAGGATACACAAAGGTTTCTTAGATAACACACAGCAATAAAACTACTAGTAAAGTGGAATTCATGAAAATGAAAAAGTTCTACACTAAATACATCATAAAAAATGAATGGGCTAGCCACAAACTAGAAGAAAATAGTCATAAAACATATCTGACAAAAAGACTGGTATCCAGGATATTTAAAGATCTTTTTCAACTTAAAAATATGACAAATATTCAAATTTTAAAATGGGCAAAGGGCTTGAACAGACGTTTCATAAAGGAAGATAGATGTGATTAATGAGCACATTAACAAGGTGCTCAACATCATTAGTCATTAGATAAGTACACATTAGTCTATGGCCATACCACCCTGAACACGCCCAGTCTGTGATCCGGGAAGCTAAGCAGGGTTGGGTCAGGTTAGTACTAGGATGGGAGATAAGTACACATTTAAAAAAAGCATTAAAAAGGGCGCCTGGGTGGCTCAGTGGGTTAAAGCCCCTGCCTTCGGCTCAGGTCATGATCCCAGAGTGCTGGGATCGAGCCATGCATCGGGCTCCCTGCTCAGCAGGGAGCCTGCTTCCTCCTCTCTCTCTCTGCCTGCCTCTCTGCCTACTTGTGATCTCTATCTGTCAAATAAATAAATAAAATCTTTAAAAAAAAACATTAAAAATGAAAGTAATGAAATACTACTACACATCCACCAGAACAGTTAAAATTAAAAGGCTGACAATACCAGGTGTTGGTGTGGATGGCCAGAATACTCATACCTTTTGGTGGGAGTGTAAAATGGTAAAAATACTTTGGAAAACTGGCAATTTCAGAAAAAAACTAAACATGTATCTACCCTATGATCCAGTAACTCCATTCCTAGGTATTTACAAACCAGGAAAGTATATGTTCACAAAATACTTACACAAGCTTTTTCATAGTAGCTTTGTTATTTTCTTTTTAATGATTTTATTTATTTGACAGACAGAGATCACAAATAGGCAGAGAGGCAGGCGGTGGGAGCCCACGAAGCAGACTCCCTGCTGAGCAGAGTGTCCGACGCAGGGCTCCATCCCAGGACCCTGAGATCACAACCTTAGCCGAAGGCAATGGCTTTAAACCACTGAGCCACCCAGGCGCCCTAGCTTTTTTAATAGCTCTGAACTGATCAGAATTCAGATATCCATCAATGGGTGAATGGATAAATAAGCTGAGGTATATCTATAGGATTGATACTATTCGCCAACAAAAATGAATACTGGTAACAACAGAGATGAATCTCACAGCTAAGTGAAAGAAGCTTTTACCCAAAAAGAGGACATTCTGAATGATTCCATCTATATGACATTCTAGAACAAGTTAATTATAATAAAAAATATCCCAAGAGTGACTGGGTGGGAGTAAGTGCAGGACTTGACTTGGATGAGGCATGAGAGAACTTTCTAGAGCAAAGACCATTTTATTTCAGTAAGATTCTTAATTACATGTGTATGCATTTCCCAAAACTTACTAAATGGCATACTTAAGATCTGTGTTTTCATTGCATGTAATTTTACCTAAAAGAAAAAGACCCATAAATATTGAACTTAATAATATCAATGCTGAAGTGTTCCAGACTGAAGGTACTTGACTGTGTACAACTTACTTTGAAATATACAAAAGACAGAATAATAAATGGAAAGAAAAATGAATACATGGGCAGTGATATAATAAAGCAAATACAGTGAAATGTTAATAGGAGAATCTAGGTAGTCATAGATATTCATAGTACAATTTTTTCAAATTTTCTGTCCGAAAATTATAATAAATTGTCAGGAAAAAAAGTAACCTGAGTTTTCAAACATGGACCAAGATGTGCCAATTTCCACAGTACTTTCTGCTATTATCAAAAGCCTAAAAATAGTCTAAAAGAAAACCATCTTGCTGTTTCTTTCCATTATTAAATGACCTAAGGTCAGTTCATGGTCAAAATCTTTTTTCCCCTATATTTGGTCATGTTTTCTGAGAGCTAACTGGTTCTAGTATTCTTCCATGCAGCTCACATTTTCAACTTTTCCTGTTGATATGCTCTTAACCTTAGCAGCTGGTGATCTGATCCAATGTACATAAAAGGTGAAACATGGTTTTCATTACTGTGGTACTTCTGACAAAAGAGGGTAACATAATTATTAATAAACTCATTATAAAACCAACACAGATTTTTGTTAAGTTCATTTTGGTATTTGTAAAGTTCTAAGTATGGTTTGTAATACCCCTTAGAGAGAAAACAAAAGACTTTAGGTATCAAAATCAATATGGCAAAAAGAAAATGAAAAAAATCAATGTAACATTCTAATATGCTCCCTAGGAAAATTATTCCAATGAAATAGTAAAAATTAAAGTTCACCAAATATTTTCTTAAATTTTATCTTTAAAAATACAGCTTCAGAACTATGACAAATTCAAGTTATAAAATATTATTTCTACTCTCTTTAGAAGTGTTTCTGCAGGGAATAACAAAGCTAGGTTATGGTTATTATTTTTTTTAAAGATTTTTTATTTATTTATTTGAGAGAGAGACAGTGAGAGAGAGCATGAGTGAGAAGGTCAGAGAGAGAAGCAGACTCCCCGTGGAGCTGGGAGCCTGATGTGGGACTCGATCCTGGGACTCCAGGATCATGAACTGAGCGGAAGGCAGTCAGTCGTCCAACCAACTGAGCCACCCAGGCGTCCCTGGTTATTATTTTTAAAACTCCATAGATACAATTTATTTTAAGGACAAAGTGAGAACCTCCTGACATTAAAAAAAAAAAAAAGAAAAAAAAGAAAAAAGGGGAATGGAAGATTTTCTGCCAATTTTGTGTCACAACTGCCTCTGTACATCAAATAAAGGAAAAAGTAGTTGGTTTTTTTTTTTAAGATTTATTTATTTATTTGACAGAGAGAGAGAGAGAGAGATATCACAAGTAGGCAGAGAGGCAGGCAGAGAGAGAGAGGAGGAAGCAGGCTCTCCACCAAGCAGAGAGCCCGAGGCGGGACGCGATCCCAGGACCCCGAAATCATGACCCGAGCTGAAGGCAGAGGCCCAACCCACTGAGCCACCCAGATGCCCAAAGAAAAAGTAGTTTATGATGAAGTATGATGTGTATCTCTAATGCCAGGGAATGCTATTTTATATGGTAAAAAGAGTTCCTTAAAACTAAAGTTTCTTTGTGGAACTAGAAAAAGACTGTTCATTGTATTTAAACAGCAAATATAAAACTAATGTGTAGGGTGGCTAGGTGGCTCAGTCGGTTATG